CGGAAACAACCATATGATTGGCGTTTCAGGGTTTAATGACGGTGTATAACAGTTTACGTTTAGAATGTAGGGTTACCCTAAATGTCCAAGCACGTTGTATAAATTAGCTTACCGGAAAGCTAGACGTATGCTTATATGATGCATGATTTTACCCCTGTAGAGCGACATACCCTTAAACCCAAACCTTAAGCTACTAAACCCCAAACCGCGGTTGAAGCGTTGCCCTCAGCTCACACGAAGGTGGGTGGGGCGGCCGGAAAGCTTACGCCCCGCATCTGCCAGGATGCCATCTCACCTCGCCATGCTGGAGTTTAGTGTTTAGTTTCGGGGCTTGGGGCGTAGGCTTAAGGCTTTAGAGTTTAGGGGCTCAGCATTTAGGGGTTTAAGGCTTAGGCGTTTAGGGTTTCCGGGTTTAGGGTTTAGGGGTTAGGTTTGGGGTTTTTAAGGGTTTAGGGGTTTAGTGTTGAGGGATTTAGGGTTTAGGGGTCTAGGGTTTAGGTTCGGAGTTTTAGGGTTCAGGGGTCTTGGGGTTTAGGGTTTAGGAGTTTAGGGCTTACTGGTTTAGGGTTTAGGGTCAGTGGAGTTGAGATGAGGAAGTTGGAATAGGGTTATTCTCCACCCACTAATGGAGGATCGAATGGAAAAGAACATCGACAATGAAATGGAAACTGGATGATGCAGTGGCTTCTACAATAGGGATTGTGAATAGGGATGGCATACAGGGATGATTTTGGGATTGTATAGGGATGGTGTACGGGTGGGGTTTAGGGCTTGAAGAACTAGGGGAAAGGCCTAGTGCCAGAATCATTTCTCAAGCTTTTGCTCCACACATATGGTAGCTTCCCTCAATGAGAAGACCCTGAAATGGACCACAAAAAGAATCCATAATTTGCAGAACCGTCCATATCTAGAGTTGAAAGTGCAGAGATACTATAAACACCTGGCATCTGGCTACATTTCGCCAAAAGCAAGTGCAACGTGCTTTGGGCAGGCACAGGGTAAACCGTTGTAGCTGACAAACCATCCATCTAAGGACCCCTTGACCGAAATCAAGCTCCTCTTGTAACCAATACGAACAAACCATTACACCATGACCCTTTTTTTTTCAAGGTAGCTACCTTTATGGCTAGTAGCTCCTTGTAACAAAAGTAAGTACCCTCGAAAAGGGGCAAGGTGTCAGGGTCTAGGACGCGGGCCACTGAACGCGAAATACAAAGTTTAAGCTCCATCGAAGCTATGTCATGGTGGACTCTCTGAGGGAAGTCCCTGGAAAAATTGCAGATCCAGTGGTTATGACCCGTGCAGAAGGAGAATAAGGGCATATTGGATATTGTACGGGCATCTATATTACGTTTAACCGTTCGAAGGCTCAATCTCGCTGCGTTCGTGCCAGGATCAACACATATATGACGCAGGCATGGATCCCTTGATGATTACCGGTGGAAATTTCTACATACTTTAGGCTGTCATTTAATTATAGAAGAAAGAGCCGCGGGGTAAACCCGGAAGCACATGACTAGAGCTGACAACCTGAAGCCGAGTTGCCGAAGTGTCCCAGGTGAGTGTTGTTGTTCCTTGGGGTAAAGTTCGAGGGCTTGGGCATTCTTGAGTACCAGCAACTGAAACCCAAAACTCCTGACCTTACTCCACATTCATTACCATCATTAATTGCCATCAGTATTGTCTTGAACTTTACGATTACTATTACGACTCTTACCGTTACTATGACTGCTACTATTGCTACAACTGGTACCATTACTTTTTTCAGTACCATAACTGCCGTTCTGCAGCCCTACTCTATCCCCCTAACTTGCATTGTACAGTGTACTCCACATGGAGGCAGAAACACTTGCTGAGATTTCCCAAAACGGCTCTTCAACATGAACAACATCCAGCTGGTATCTTATGAGCCCGGGCCCGAAGATCATGTCCCTTACAGACCCATAAACTCATAAGATCCATCCCCATCTAGTCCCCCATGCAAATTTGAATCTTGTTGAAACAGGAGGAGCACAAAATTGAAGCGAGTGGTTGCTGAATGAATCCTGGATGCTTCTTGATGGAGAAGACAGGCGTATTGGCCGGCAGCCAGACCGTGTTGTCCAAGCTCGAATCCTGGTGAACGAAAGTAACAACAATACCAATAATATTACCAATAATAATATTAATAGTACCAATAATACTAAACCAATAATAAGACTAATGCTAATATCAGTAATAAGAATAGGACTATTAATTTCATCATCTCAACCCAACCAACTTCAGCATACATCGTGTACTACAAGCTCGGCTCGTGAGCTAGATTGCTTTGCGCGGCACACGAACTTCGCCAGCTGGGCCGAGCTTCCGGCAGCTTTTCATGTTTTATTAATGGGGATCCATTTGCCAATTCAGTTCCGTACTATAGAAATAGCCGATCCTCGTCACTCCAGAGGCACGGTGGCAGAATCACGTAGCCAGCTTCATCAAACTTGTCCTGGCAGGTCGGTGCGCTAGGGCTGTACATCCACAAATCAAATCTGCTTGTTGGCCTCAAGTGGGTTGATCTGTATATAGGGATGTGTATGTTTGTTATAGATGCAACTGAAATGTCGGGTACCTACTTTAGATGGAAGTCAGGGAAGGATAAACAAGTCCTTAGTAGGCTAATGTTGTTTGATAATCGGCTATTAAGTTCCAGGCCAGTTCGGCGCAGCATCAACTATGGCAATCTGGAGGCATTGGAAATTTCTGTGTACAAGCTGTCCCAAACCTACACCCTAAAAATCCTGTAATTGCATTCCTATAACTAAAACTATCCACAAATACCGCTTACTTTTACTACGTGTAATACAATTACTATGGTATCGGCCCTTAGCCAAGGCCTCCGACTCACACCTCGGGATTTGGGGTTTAGGGTTTAGGGTTTAGGGCTTTAGGGTTTAGGGCTTAGGGTTTAGGGGTTTAGGGTATAGGGCTCAGGGTGTACAACCTTGAAGATTGAATGGCTACAGCCCAAAACCTAGACTCTAGATGGCAATCCTCAAAAGCGTTGTACCCCCTAAACCCTATTGCAGTCCACTCCTTGTTGGAATATGACGATAAACTGTAATATGACTCTTTACCACTTGCATTCAAACAAGAACTAAACATGATCTCCACGAAGAAACTGTAGTGCCACCCAGGTCCTTAGGGAAATTGCCTTGGCCATACTTCGGCAACTGCCGGCAAAGCAATTCCGGTGTTCCAGTGAGGTTGTGATACCTGAGCAGAGCTTCCAGTTTGGGATCGATTGGCTTAGGGTCCAGGATTATTGTAGGTTCTAGGGCTGGGCCTTTGAAGTGTAGAGCATTGGGATTTAGGGTTGAGGGCTTGGAGTCACATAGAAAAAAAGCCACATAGGTATGGGGAGTTCGTATATGGAGGCTGTTCGAAGTTAGCATCATCTTGACGTGTCTGAGAATCAAAGGCTGCGTGAGAGAACCTAGCTTGCAGCTCGGCAAAAGTTTGAAAACCCCTTTCCCAGACCTTTGTCCATACCTGAACCCCAAAAGTAGGTAACACAATAGCCAAAAACATTTAAATTTAGCCTGAAGGCAATTATTCTACATGCTTTTGGGGTTCAGCTACCCCTTTTTGAGCTATCTAACTTTACGGCTGATAGCTCCTGCGCGTATATGTATGCAAAGAAGATTTTCATGAGGTACCCTGAGAAGAGGGGTAGGGTCCAAGGGTCCATGTTGTCTCACAAAACGAAACCCTAAATCCTACCCTAAATAGTAGTTTCCATTCTATTTTCCATTATACCAATATAACCCCCATATAACCCCATTATCCCTAAACCCTTTAACACAAAACCCGGGTCTCCTCCATTCTTTAGGACGGCGGGCGGGCGCAATTTATCAAGGGACCGCCAATATTCAGATGGCGCACTTGACCCTAAAAGTGAACCCGAAACCCTAGAACCCTAAAACCCAAAACCCAGAACCCAAAACCCTAGGGCTCAGGGTTTACGCACTAAACCCTGGTCCTTTGGTGGCTGAACAAGGAATATGGGTGTGAGCCAGGATCTGGGTCTCCTTCACCTTGAACAGTGAGATTCATTTGTAGTCCCTCTTAATTAGATAGAATATGGCTTTGGGCATATTTTAATAGGATCCCCATATACCCCATAATCTATCTACCTGAGGGGGACCATACATACATAACCCCAAAAGAAAAATCGCCTCAACCCGTAAGCAAAGTGTGTTTCGGCTCAGGCGACAGCAAAGCTGCAGAGAAACCAGAATATGTGAGAGGTCCATTGAGCTTTGCTCAGGATGAAACATGGCCTGTTGAGGGATATTGATTATTGTGCTGGCCAAGTTGGGATCCAGCAAAGCAACCCTAAATGGGCAAATCACCAACTGGTTGATTCAAGACGAGGCGGTTGTGAAAGATTTGCTAAAGTGTGGAGAGACCGTGGAATCCTCGATTGGCAGGGCTGTCTTTCAGACTAAAGGGTATCTTGAGCTCGAGGTTCTGGCTGTTGCAGATTGTGGTTTTTAAGCGTTTGACCTCGCAACACATTGAATTTGAGACTTCACCTAGACATGCGTTGAAAGCCGCAGCTTAGTTGCGAAGGAATATGCGGAGGAGATGGAGTAGACTCTTATATTCTGGATGTCAGGATGAGAAAACACATTTTTGCAAGGCCTTCACTGGATGTTCAGGAAATGGGGCTGTGCAGATGCAGAGAAAGCAGACCAGAAGATTTCACAAGTGATTGGCGGTTACTAGGAAATGGAAAGCAACCACACTGCCATGAGAGATTTAGAGCCGGGTAGGGAATCATGGAATGAACCCCTTTAGAAAGTATCCCCTGTACCATCCACACATCATAGTCCTTCCAGCCAATTCTTTCATTCCGCTCGGATTACAGAACGTGGATGGTGTCCCAAGTACAAACCCTGCCATAAGCCCCTTGTTCCTAAGCAACCCTGAACCCTATACCCTAGAGCCTAAAATTGTCTCCCAGGTACAACTCAATGGAGATGCAGCTTGGAGCGTGACAGTGCCCACCAGCATAGATGAGGCGGATGTTGCTGACGGTCCAGTGATACCTGATGTGTCTGTCAAGTGAACTCTCCATCCACTCATAGGGGTAAAGTAGAAACTGGCATTATCCTGTGCAGTCACTACTGGTGGCTGGAGGATCTAGTACCTGAATATCAACTCATATGGGCTTTTGGCTTTGGGGCTCTAAGACTTCTAGTATCCCCCTTTATGAGTTCTATAATGGTCACATATCTAATCCCCTATATAACCCTCCTTTCAAGAGTTTAGACTACAGTTCATGCAGTCCGCTTACTTGCAACCGTCGGCCGCAGGCTGTAGAAACCTCACTCCTATAGGAACCCTGGTTTAGGGTTTAGGGTTTTACCTCACGAGTTCCAGTGGGCTTTTGGCTTTGGGGTTCTAATACTCGGGCCTGAGAGGGATCATGGTCTGCAGCAGAGCTTTGGATGGGCCATCCCTGGTAGTGGCCAAAGGGTTTAGGATTCTTAGTGGCCCGATATGGGAGCTTCCCAAAATTAGGGGTCCCTTCTAATAAAGACATAGTATATTGGGGTCTAGAATAGGGTCCCCCTATTTTGGCAAAGTACCAGGTACCATAAAGAAACCCAAAAAGGGAACCTCTAAATGTTGGATGGAAGCTATAGCTTTCTGTTCCTGATTTGACATGTTGTCCAACATGAGTTGTTTTAAAGGCACGCTGGGGGGGCGGCAAAACAGGAGTCGCGGGGTTAGTATGGTCGGACACACAGCAAGGTTGCGGAATTCCAAACCATGGCACTGTCTGCATCCAAGCGAACTCAGAATACAAGTCGGACCAGCATGCGCAGCAACGGAAATTCATACAGTTCATACCAACCGCAGGATTTCTTCTGGTTGAGAGGTAGCTGCTAGTTTGGTACTTCATGAACTATGAACCCTTTACGTATGAGTATCTACCCCAGAAACCCAATCCACTATGTACACCTATACACCCATACATAAACCACATACTCAAAACACCCCCTGTGTCCCCCGTCTAGCCCTATGTAACCCCAAACCCTGTCCATAAGCGCAGCTGTCGCAACGTGATGGTGTGAACGCACTCACAGTCGGGGCCATCGGGGCACGAGCCTCCATCAGAATCAGTACATAAGATTTATATGGGGGGCTTATATTGGGGTTCTATAGGGGTGTACATAGGGGTGCATATCAGGTTTATGCAGGGAATATACGAGGGTTTACAATGTCAAGTTTATGTAGGGTTTTATATAAGGGGTACATAGGGCTTATGTAGGGATATGACTCTACTCATGGAAAATCAGATGCAGAAGAACAAGAAACAACATGGAAACTGGACTTACGTAGAGGTTTATTGGAGTAGTGTTTCCCAAGATTAAGGGTACCTGTCCGGACCCCCATAACAAGGATTATTGTATTTTGGGGCGTATATTGGGTCTCTCTCTTCAGGGAAACTACCATACAGCGGTTGTCCTTTTACAGGGATTTATAGGGTGGAGGGCATAGGGTTGAGGGGTGGGATGCAGTCCTAAACACCAGTAACCAACAACTAGCAATATCAATGTTCCAGCAAAGCTGCGAACATCGTTACGCTCTGTATTGAACGACGGTCAAGCAGAATGCCAGTTCAGCGTGATATTGCTGAAGCCCAAAACCCGGCAATAACATTAACAGCAAGGAGAATCCCAGACAGCCCAGCCGCATTTAAGGGACATACCCGAGGTGCATGGGGCTTTCTTGCATGACTTAAGTGACAACCCCTTGGTAAACGAGGACTGGGCTCTATGGGGTGTGAGAGAAGCCTTTGCAGCTGGTGCCGGGCGTTGGGGTGCCAACAGGCCACTGCGGGTAGCCTGACATGGCGTAGGATTTCAGTTCAGGGTTCAGGGCTGTAGTGGTGATGTAGGGCGTGCTTACCTAGAGGAAACACTTCAATTAGCTAAACTTTGAAGTCTTTGCGTTTGTTATGGGGTCTAAGTTTCCTCTAGGTAAAGCTTGTGGTTCTTGGGGTTAGGGCTTGCAAGGCTTAGGCTTGTTGCTTGTTATGTTGCAGCTTCCGGACAAGGGGTTAAAATGGTATGGCCCCAAAAACTGCTTTATATGATGGCCTATCTCAGACAGCCCCAAAAACACGACAGCTGCTACGAACAAACTGACATATTCAAAGCGAGGAAGTAGGCAGAACGGGTGCTTGGGGAGCGCATGGGTGGCGCTTCGAGCCCATGAGCCCTAAACAAAGAATACTCATGCTGACGCCAAGGATATAACATTCCTTGAGCTCTCAAAGACTACCATCATGCATCCAGCTCTGAATACGTTGTTCAACAAAAGTGATGACGCCCAATTAGGCAGGCCACACGAAAGAAGAAACAGTTTCACCAAAGCCAGGTATTGTCACCTGGGTCATGGTCTAAGCTCCTAGTATCCCCCTAATAACCCCCACAGTACTCCCCTATATCCCCTATATAACCGCCTTTGAGGAGTTTAGACTATAGCTCACCTGGACATCCCAGCTATCTGTATGGTGAAAATCGGACAAGTTCGAGTCAAGTTCGACTATAAAAGAGAGCTCTTCCAAGATGCTAGGTTAGGGAGTACAATGGTACCCCCCCCCAAAGGTACCCCTCCCAGGGTTTAAGGAGCTAGTAAGGACTATATAGGGCTTAATAAGGCCAAATAACTAGGAGATCTCAGTACATCGCAGGAGCCGCTCCCTCCCAAAACCCTTCTGCAAGCAGAATTCGCTGTGCTGAAAACCAAGCCCATGACAAGCATGATCCCCTTCCAAATAACAACATCTCGACGATCATTGAGGGGAGGTGACCCCAAGACCTTGTTGAAAACGTATGTCTTCGTGCTTCTCAATATCAACTTGTAGCTAGAAGTGATTCAACGGTTAAATCCCAACCCCCAGGCCCTACACACTACCCTAAACCATAAACCCCAACTAGTAGTGTCCATTTTCTTTTCCATTCCCTCATATGCGCCTGTACAACCCCCTTAGCATGAAACCCTACAATCCATAATCCCCAAACCTAAACCACTCTTATCCTAAACCCTAATCCCTTGGCTCCCCAGGAAGCTAGCACTAAACAGGTCCCCTTCGAAACAAAAAAAGGCTCATCTTTATGCAGAAGATAGGGAACTCAAAAACGCCACTATTAGGGAAAGGAACTTAAGGCTTCAGGGATTACACCCGAAGAGAGAGCTCTAAATTTGACTCAGAAGCCCACAACCGGATGTCCAGGCCTGGCAACAACGGCTGGGATTATGTGGGCTGGTTTTGAAAATATGGGCCCCTTCTGGTTATAGATTATAGCGTGGCAAGTAATCTGTAAAGTTACCAAAGCCTAATTTTGGGAACTAGCCATGAAATAGTTTATTACCACTAACCTCAACTACTTACGTTTATAACTTTTTATGGGTTACGCCTACTAACTACGGGTCATTGCTACAAAGCTGTAGGGTGTTGGCTTCCGTGCTCTAATTTGTTAGGGGGCTTCGTGTTGACATGTGGTTTAGGCTTCAAATTCCCTAAACCCTGGTAAATCCTAACCACAAACCCTAAACCCCAAACCCCAAACCTACAGAATTTGGAACCTACCTGTGGCTCCCGCAATGAGTTTCGTAGCTTCATCCGTAGCTTCATCCCACAAAGGACCTGGTAGAAACTTCCTCAACTCTAGGAGACTGGAGTTACAACTCCCTCAACTGCAGGATTAAGTTCTAGGATTAGGTACCCTAAACCCTAAACCCTAAACGCAAGCAGTTGGAATCTATAGGAGCTCGGAGCATCAAGAAGCAAGGGCTAACAGATACTCAGGGAAAATTCTGCTGCACGTACCTTGCCCTGAGGGTCATCGGACCCAAAGATTCGCGTTTTAGGTACCCAAAAACCATTCATAGCCCGATGGTTCGGGTATTTGACCAATTTGCTTTTTGTTGATGCCCACACTCTATAGACCCTAAACCCTGAATCCTAAAACCGGAACCATAAAGCTTTCGTCCCCGGCTTGATGGGCTCAGGGTTTAGGATTTAGGGCTGGGGGTTGAGGGCTTAGGGCTTATAGGGCTCAGGGCTTAGGGTTTAGGACTTAGAGTTTAGGGTTTGGGGCTTAGGGCTTAGAGCCTAGGGTTTGGGGCTTTGGATTTAGGGTTGAGCATACTGGTTTTTCATAGGGACCAGTGGTTACATAGGGACGATCTTCCTTTATTCCCTACTAAGAACCAGAAAGCTAGGGCTTAGGGAGTTGCGGTCTGCAATGTTTGGGCCTCTAGCCCTAACCTAAAATCCCCCCACCCTCACGCTTACCCTCAACCTAAATAAAGCCTTGCAGAAAGCCAAAAAAATAGGCCCTAAATATTAAAAATGTCACCTAAAACCCTTAACCTAACAACCCTACAAAAGAGTGCTTGAATCCCACAACAAGCAACCTCAAGCCCTAAGCCCTTGACAACTCTTGACCCGAATCGCCTTGCAAAAGCAGGTGGGATGTCATACTCGCCTGCATGCGCCTCAGGGTCTACGCAGGCGGATTGAACATTCAGAACTTGAGGGTTTGAGCAGTTTTTGGCCTTTAGGGTTTGGAGCTTAGGGTTGAGGGTTTCAGGGTATGGGATTAGGGCTTAGGGTCTGTATAAGGGAAGGTCATCCTCTGAAGGCAGATCAGTTCTAGAAAACCTTACACAGCTGTAGGCTTGAAGGCTGAGTGAAAGCCTAGCTTCCCGTAGCCCTACATCATGTAGATTGCGTGGTCATGAAACTGCAATGGGGCATCAAAATCCACATGCGAGGAGGGGTGGCAGCCCAACGCGCAGGAGTATCCGCCCAGCAATGTCAAGCTTGATCGGCCATGATAGCCCTGCATGAGCGAGTTAAGTCCCATGTACCCCGAAGGGTCCATGTAGCTATATGGTATATACTTGGGCCTTAAAGTAGGTATATGGGAACCCCTTCGGGCCCTAAGTGTATACCATATACCTACATGGACCCTTTGGGTACCCGTCTCTCAAAGCTCCGGAGCGCTGTCATAAGGTTCCTACTACTTTGGTCCAAGGTTTAGGGTTTAGGGTTTAGGGCCGCAAAGATTGAGCAACGGCACACCAAACTCCGACCTCTAAGCCGCAGACCCTACTCCTACTGCTACCTTCAGAAACCCCCAACCTCAAGCCTGCAAATCCCAGGTCTGTATAGGGGCTTCCATACACAGGATGCCCCAGTTGAGACCCGACAGCGTACTATGGTCTTTTTTACAACAACTCCTAAAAAGGGACTCCCGATTGTCTTGCAAGCTCCAGACATAGTCACCACTAAGTTGGACACCGAATACATATATATATATATACATGTACATATATATACACTCACCAATTTTCCTCAAAAACCTACACTTACAAAAACAACAACACTACAACCCTAAATTCCAAACTCTACACCGCCTGGCCTCCGTCTGGTAGTAGATGCGCGGAAGATCGGCATGGGAGGCCTTAGCCGCGCTGGTGGCTGGCTTGTACCTGGGTGGGGATTTAGGATTTGAACGTCTGGCGTGCCAGGGGCTCAGTAATAACAGCAATAAGAATAAGAGTAGTAATAACAATAACAATAAGAATCATCAGAATAGTAATAATATTAATAAGAAAATGAGAATAAGAATAATATTATTGATAGTAGTAATACTCATAGGGTCTGGGTGGGCTGCAGGGCTGGCAGGCTTCTTAAGGAGGGCTTCCAAAGTCATGGGGGGGCTGAGCAGCGATAGACTGGTCTTGAAGTCCTTGTATAGTCATGGAAACAGGTACCACAGAATCCTGAAATGATCTTGGCATTTATTTGGCCCCTACGGCAGTTCAGGCTTCACGCGACAGAGTATGCAGGGTCAGTGTCCGAGCTGAAACTGCCTTTGCACAAGGCATATCCCAAGCAAAGCATGTAGAATCAACAGCTAAATAAACAGACCAGGGTCTTCGTATGGCATAGCTTTATATAGGGGGTTTGAGGGGATCAACTTCCCTGATTAAGCTTCCTCTCTCTCTCTCTCTGTCTCTCTCTCTCTCTCTCTCTTTCTCTCCTGTGTGTGCCTGCAGTCCACAACCGCCGAGGAATTTGGAGCACCTGCTATGAACCAAGAGAGCAAGTCAAAGAAATCCAAGCAGTGTAAGTCAGAACTCGAATTGCCGATGGAATGGGCTACTACACCATGAGCTGCCTGTGTAAGCCCTGTACCTAAACCCCACCTGAACCAAACGCAGTAAGTTTTAGAAAGCTGAAAAAGTGACCAAGCTTAGTGCAGGCACTCCTGGAACCAAAAGCGAAACTTCATGTGGTATCGCAACAGCTCCGGCCGAATCTCCTGTGCTTTGGTCCCAAACGGAGCTTGTTGTGAGGAGGAGCCATGCGAGTAGATTCTCTTCCTGTTAGAGACCACATCGCCTCAGGACTCTGCCGTCCAAACCCGACACTTTCAACCCCGAAACCACAAGGCCCAATAGTTCTCAACGCCCATAGTCATACTGTTGATGCTAAAAATCCTGCATGACCTTAGTATGCTATAGTACCATTATTCCCAAGGTTTAGGGCATTTAGGGTCATGCAGGATTTTTAGTATCCACCGTAGTCCTGGTCCGCATCCAGCATAATCCGCTTGTGGTGGCAGCAGCTGAGGCCACCAGAATACCTTGGTATCCACGGCAACTTCAGGGCTACCCTTCATCTCAGGGTGTAGAGTTTGGAGTTGTAGGCTTCTGGCACAGTCTTCTTTAAACTTAAGACCAGAACCGCAAATGCACGTTACAGATCTCCCCAGATACTAGATGTGGGGAATCCTTCTGAAGGAACCCCTACGCACCTCCAACCTATCCACACTTAGTTGAAAGTTCACCTCAAACTACCCAACCTAAGCTGAAGGTTGCCTCAAACAAACCCTTCCTTGAGGCCAGCATACTGTCGAGAGTTGCATGTTGGATTCTGCTGCGCCTTGAGATCTCCTGCAGGGGCAGCGACGCCTCAGAGGCAAAGCTAAAGACTAGCAAGGAAGAACACTCTCTAGAATTATCTGTGTTATGTGGCGCGACTGCTACAGCTTTGCTTGAGATGAATCAGAGCCGAGGCCGCCGCCTTGTGAGCTTTCCGTTTCATTACGAATTTGGGAGCTCAGGGCTCATTGAGTTGTTGTTTGCTTGACTGCGTTAAAGTTAGGTAAAACCAAGGCTTTTGCAGGGCAGAGGCTCAAGGCTTCGGGTCCAATTTCGGGGCGGATGTCGTATGCAGGGGCACACCATGAATGACTGACGTAGCATGGACACACCAAAGAAAGCGAAGTCTTGATTGCATGTGGTATCATACCGTTCGTTGCTCGCTACTTACCTTGGTTTTGAGGAGGGAGGGGACACGATGACCCTGCTTTGACCCTTACATCTTGATTCATAGACCAAGGACAAGGAAGTGAAAGGGCACATCGCGTACCGTCAACCAGAAACGCATAACATAACACACGCAGAAGAGTAAGTCTGCAAGAAAGATGTTGAACAAATACTGGGCACAAAGCTACCGGGGCTGTCGCAAGTGCTTCCTAGCTCAATACCCACATCTGAAAAAACAACTGCTGCTACTGGGCTTCCAAGGTTCAATCCTTTTCGAACTCGGCACAGTTGACACCTCCAGTTTCACAGAGTCGGCCGGTAAGGCCTTTGTCGCAAATGCAGCTGCTGGACCCCTCGCTGGTCAGCGCGACCTTGCAGGTTCATCAAGGACTGAATGACGTCAGCCATAGTCTAAACTCCTCGTATCCCACCTAATATCCCCTATAGTAGTTCCCTGAATAATCCCTTATACAAAGCCCTTCGAGGAGTTTAGACTATGGATGATGTGTCGCGGAAAGGCTTTATGAGGTTTTATGTGGTGCAATTATTGGGGACTCGCGGGTTGTCGCGTAGCAGTCGCGGCTGAAACATCAGAAGACTTTTCAAGAACGTATGCGTGTGATTTTCGTCAGGTAAAAATGCGAATGCCAACCTGAACTATGAGCCTAAACGCTCCTTGTACCCACTATTGTACCGCAAGTGCCTGCTAGTAGGGACGATATACCCCCCCTTTCATGGGGATCTTGGAGTAGAGGCGCCCAAGTGTCAAGACATTGTGTTCCTCGACAGTTGGCCCTTATGACACATATTCGGTAATTGAGAATTTTGCTGGAAATGCTCTGAACCTTACGCTGCTCTGCTAACACGGGGACGAGGTTGACAGGATGGCCGGTGGTCCGGCAAACCTAAGATGGCGTGCCTTCGCCAAGAGATTTCAACAGATAGGAAATAGCATGTGTTGGGTTCGAAATGCTAATACGGTAGCCCGCTTGGGTCCAAATTCTGTACTATCCAGGTACTTGGATCCTTAGGGTTAGAGGCTAAGACAAACATGGGGCAAACCTATGATCTCTTCTAAACAGGAGGCACATGGAGATGGAACACTGCTCACATGCATTATGCACCTCTCCCTTCTACCCTGCTTGCTTCCTATAGCTGAAGGTCATGGGTAGGTATAGGCGGACTCTCAGTACTCCAATTCAGCAAGGCCATAACTAGTTACCCAGAGGGGCCAAGTACGAGATAGTTAGGTACTTGGGTTTGGGGTAATAGTAATTATACTATAGGTTTTGGGTAAGTATGATTACTAGGTACTTGGACCCTTAGGGTTATAGTTCTATTTACCGACTTCTAGCTCCACTTGCAAGTCCCCATGTACCCCTCGGACCTGCGTTGGGCCGTGAGCACGGTGATATGCAAACGTCTGCGTCTGTCCCACCGCTGTGATGAAATGAATAGTCTCATCCTGAGTTGCTGTTAAGGAACCCATAGTCCAGTTTAGGGATTATATATAAGGATTATAGGGTATGTTGGGGAAATATTCGGATAATAATGGAAAAGAAAATGGAAACTACTATGTGGGTTGTAGGGTTTAGGGTTATAGGCCCCCTAAAAAGTAGATAGATTATGGAGTATATGAAGATCTTGTTATAACATACCCAAAGCCATGTTTTATCTACTTAAGGGGGACTATAATTTTACTATACTAGGGTATGCTGTAAATAATGGGGTTTCCTTATTGTAGCAACTTAATTAAAAAACGTTCCTTAACAGCAACCCAGCATCCGCGTAGGGGTTGAAAGAGTAGTGGTTCTTGGTGATTCCTCTGATTCGGAGCACGGCTTCAAGGTTTGGGGCTTCTACTTGGGGATTTCACATTTACAAAGAGGGGCCCCTTTTAGGGTTCAAATTCTGGATGAGGATAATCGAATGTTGGGGTCTGTGTTGCGGTGCCCCCAATTCATGCAATGCAAGCTACCACTTCGTGATTCCCCTAAATCAGCCAGAGGGTTAGCATGTACATATCTCACTGCGACGTGAGCCATAGTCTCAGCTCCTAGCATCCGCCTTGATAAGCCCTATAATACTCCCCTATACAATCCCCTATGCAATCCCCTTTAAGGAGTTAAGACCACAGCTCATATAGCTTTCGTTTGGAAGATCCTTTCCCTTAACTCCTTGGCAGAATGTGCAGAGTTCCTGGTTTCCTCCTGCTACTTCACCTGATCTCGCTACTTAATATAATGAGCCCAATGTATATCATCGTGCCAACTCTACCCGTTGGCAAGAAGTACCTTGGCGACCTTTGAGATTCCTAAATATTCGTTACTGTCCCAAACAACTTGCGTCCTGACTTGGGGGTTTCCCAAAATTAGCGGTGCCCTTTTGAGGGTCCCAAAAACAAGGACTATGGTTTTGGGGGGTCTATATTATATTGGGGTCCCCCTGCTTAGGGAAACTACCACTTTGTTTCCATAGCTTCCAGCAAGACCGCGTGTGACCACCACCGTGCGGACATTGTCAACTACCGAGCTTGAAAGCACCTCAGGGCAGCCGCGTTTTGAATGCCCTGGGCTCTTGTAACCTGCCCTAAACCCTCAAGCCAAGCAGCAGCCTGGTCCACTGACAAGCTTATTCATAATTGCGTTAGAACTACAACTTTAAGTGTAGTCCCCTCAAGTAGATAGAATAAGGCTTTGGATATCTTAGAATAAGATCCACATATACCCCATATTATATCTACTGCAGGGGGACTATAGGTTAAAGGACCAGCAAGTGTCAGCCAAGACCAGACTAGGTTCTGCATGCTCCTGGGATCCTGTGATACCTGACCTACCTTGGGAGCTGAGGAAGTCCTTATGTTGATTTTGCGTTTGGGGTTTAGGGTTTGGAGGTTTAGGGTTTAGGGTTTAGGGTTGAGAGTTTAAGGGATTTTGGGCGACAAAACACGACATCGTTCTCCCTTCTTAGCCCCAGTCTCACCATGGATTCGAACGCACCCTGAACCGTAATCTGCTTCCTTGAAGGTTAGGATCCGACACTCTGACTTGTTGCATCCGAGTGGGCATTGCTTATAGATATAGATATCGCATGCTTGGTACCTTGAAACATAACATAAGGTGAATAAGAATAGACCGTAAACTCTGAACACACAAAAAACTGTAAGCCTTCACCATTAAATCCCAAGCCCCTACGCCCACTCTACACTTGTTGGCTGTTCATGCAGATGGAGGACTGGAGCCCTATGGCATCCCCTAGGGGCTGTTTAGGGTTTAGGGTTCAGGGTTTAGGGCCTAGAGTCTATAGGGTTTTGGGTTTATAGGGTTTACTTAGAGGGTCAGGGGGACTTCGTAAGTAGGTTAATAACCCCTATCACCTATATAGTAACCCTGGTTATCCTAATTATTAACCTACTTTCTAAGTCCCCATGACCCTCCAAGTGAGTTTTTATGAGCAAAATCCAAATTCCAATTCGAATTTTCATGTTCGCATCCATTGCTGGTAATTGTTGAGGTCCCGTAAGTACTAAATCCGAACAACCAGCAGGTCAGCCCTGAACTCTAAAGCCTAGACATCCCTGTGAACCTTTAGTTCCCATTTCGTTCTGCATTTGCTCTACATGTAATTTCTGCCCTAACTGCTACAGGACCCTTCAAAATCTTTACATACACCAATTGATTCCTATGTAAGTCTAGAGTCCCTAGAGAACCCCAAATGATCTTCATATACACCCTAAACCCTAAACCCTAAACCCTAAACGACATGTAGGCAACAGCACCTTAAGACTGGAAGAGAGAAGGTCGCCGGGGCAGTGTTCGGCTTCGCTACCGCAGGTGCCGATCTTCCTCTCAGTCACCTAGAAGCTGGGTTTTGGGTCTTCATGGATATTCTCATTCCTTCTTGGGACTCTGTTTCAGCTAGCCCTAAGCCGTGAACCCTTAATCTAATTCCTTTTTTGCGACTCTGTTTCAGCTTCGATGTGTTCATGCGGCTTGTTGTGCACTAGTTGAAGTTCAGAGCGATGACCCCCAACCTTAGCCCTAACCCTAAATCCTCAAGCCTCGACCCTCAATCCAAAACCCCAAACCATCCAAAACCCTACGCCCTCAACGTTACCTTATAGACTTTGCATAGCTCATGGGCTGCAGAAGGGGTCAGGCTTCAACAAACTCATGATGCGAGAGGTTTCCCAGGGAATCCAGGTACCTCTAGAGAGAGGACACACTGCCAGCTCTATTCTCTACTGGGCTCCTACATACCTGCCTGGCGCTCTGTAATTTACATATATTTATATATATTCACAGACCCTTTGGATTCAGGCTTTGGGCATAAGCCTCAAGCCACGGTTTCGGGCTTAAGGTAAGGGCTTCGGGCACAGGAGTTTGAACCCAACTGTCACAAAATATCTCTTGTCCTTGACCCACAGTCACAAGTCAAAAGCTCGAGCTGAAGTATTCCTTCCAAATTCGTAATCCTCCAGGGCCACAACTCGAAACGCTCAACCTTTCAGCCTCCTGCAAAACTTGAAGCTTCAATCGTTTAGCCCCCTGTGCCACAAAAATGTCTCCTACCGGTCAAGCGACGCCAGCGTCGTTGACCACAAGGGTGTAGGGGCTGTCAGCCATCGCAGAAGCATTGAACCCAGCGCCGAACCATCCGCCTGTGCCAGCATAGTATGCGCATCGGCATCAGTATTGTCATCATGGTCCATGGTTATGTTTGTGGGCGGCACCAGCACTGGTAGCAGATACTTTGTTATCATGATGGTCGTTCTTGTTCTTAGGATGAAGTCTGGGCCCTTTCCAGATCTTATCCGTGCCCCCTATTTCATGCGATGTGGCCAGACTAAGGATATCGCTTGGTGGGTCAAAGGGCCCTAGAAAACGTACTTTGTAACCTCTATAAGCCATATAGTAACTCCAGTCATCCCCATTATTAAGCTACTTACTAAGGGCCCCTGATCCCTCAATCAGGGTCTCAGTTCTGCAGGTGCCTGCCGGTCCAGACAGAGTCATTGTCACTTGGCCGCCTTCGCGTTGCTTCCTGCCTGGAACAAGAGGGTAGATTCCTATAGGGGCGGGTTTAGGGTTTAGGGTTTAGGATCGCATGCATCCCAAAGGTTCTTAGAGTGCTTGTTGCCGATCCTTGGGGCTCTACCTGAAGCAAGGATAGAAAAGGCAAACTTCGGGGGAGCTGATTAACTAACTTTTGCTGGCTGACGGCAATCGCTTGGCGCATTCTGGACCTCCAGGCGAACTATGGGTCAATATTACCCCAATATATACCCTATTATAATCTAGTCGTTTCCATTCTATTTTCCATTATCCCAATATAATCCCAATATCAGTAAGCCAGCATCTGCTAGGGGGGTGCGGCCACAATCGTTCAATCTGCAACTTTGGGGAGCCACTCACTTCCAGTCCAGCGCCAAAAAAACTTTGGATCTAGGCCCTGAATGTCTGACAGTCAGCAAAGCCACTAATGTCCCCGCGGATGGATCCAGACCACTTCATCACTGTGCCGCACGAGGTGATGGCGTTCCACTGGCAGGCCTCCAGCCAAGATACTTTCTCCTCATCAATCCCTAGAAGCCTCATATGTCCTGAACTCCACAAACGTCATCTCCCACGAATGCCTAAAAGCCAGTTGCAAAAGCCACCCAAGCCTAAATCACTCTGAAATCACAATGCTGCCTAACATGCACGACTCCATAGAGAGGGTATGACCTCCACAAACTATATTCCTAGACTATATAGGACATTATAGGACCGAGCATCAGAGATGAGTGCACCGTAGGCATAAGGCACCGATTCGCAGTCCACGCTGCAGCCCCAACAGGAGGGCTGGTCCCAGCAAAACCTCTTTTCAAAGTTGGAGCTATGGTCCCCCTAGTTTGGGCTCTCAATCCTGAGCTTCTTCTTTATTTACTCTATAGTCTCTCTCTCTCTCTCTATATACATATATATATATATATACGCATATGTACATACCATATATATATATACATATACACATACTCCAGCAAAACCTTTGGATTGCAAAGTAATTCACAACTGTGAAGTAGGCCATCCGCAATACTAGGAGCCCAGTAAACTTGTCTAAGACAAGCACAATTTTTGAAAAAAAAACAACGTGTCTCTAAATGTACTGAGGAGTCCAAAAAAGAACAAAACATACTCAACACCCCTGGCAATAACAGCTTTGGCCTGACCTTGTTTGAGCTCGTTGAAAAATTCTCACATTTGAATTGCACTGCAGTCCAGGCTTGGGTCTGTTTAGGGTTCGGGTTTTAGGGTTTGGGTCTGTTTGGGGTGCAAGGCAGGGTTTAGGGTTTTGGGGTTTAGGGGTTTAGGGGTTTAGGGTTTAGGGCAGTTTAGGGCTGATTTTGGCTTAGGGGTTTTGGAAAGCAGGCTTTTGAGCTGTCTAAGATTGATTTGGGATGGGGCTGTTGCAAACTTTGAGTTTGGGATTGCTTGGGTGCACAAGGAGAGAACAGATTTCTTGCGAAGAAAATGTCAGGAAGTCCCGAGATTCATACTTTGCAAAGATTCCGCTATCATCTTGGATTTCGTTGTTAGGGGTTAGGGCCCAGAAGGTATCCCTATACCAGGCTTGCCACTACTCTTGCAATAGTTGTACAAACATTTTGCCAAAGGGCTGCTTGCACTGATCCCTGGCTTCTTCTGCCGCTGCCAGGGTAGCGCCCTTCATGGCGAACGCTTGGATTTTGCTCTTCCTGTGTTGCGTTTTTGGGCGAATTGTGAGGATGGTGTTGGGTTAGCAAAGAATGGTGAGAGGATTGCTGGGAAAGCCACTAGCGAATCTTAGCTAGGAAGGCCTACTGACATTTCTGGGTCATTTGAAGGTTTACCAGAATTAGGGGTACTGCTGAAATGCATCCTTCTTGAGCAGGCATGTCTTGTATCTTGTTGGCTCTAGGCAGCACAGTTTAAGCCTTGAGCATGTTTTTCATAGTCTTCAACACAATTCTTCAAGTAGTGTAGCTGTCCC